GTATCAAACATTCCAATGTGTCAAACAAGGACAGAAGAGACAGAGAAGTCTAAAATTTCCGACCTCGGAAACTAGGCGAATTTGGATTATTCTAATGGCCAGTGGCGTATCGTTTTTAGGAACGAATTTAATTAGTAAAGTAAAAGTAAAGTAATTACTAAAATTTTTACTCCATATTAATATACTACATTATCAGTTTTTCGTCAGATGAGTTTCGTTATAAGGTCTAATATAATAATATAATTAATATCCCACATATATTTATGTTGAAACGTTAGTGGTTTTCGAAAATCGCTCCGACGTCGATTTTCAATTTAAACGTCCAGTTACTTCTATATTTTTCAGTTATAGCGTATGATCGAAAAAAAAACAGCGTCTAGTTGGCTTGAAAACGACGATTTCTTTAGTATATTCCCCATATAATTTTGCATATAAAGTGACAGCGATCTGCATTTTATAAACATTGTTGTTGCCGCTTTTTTCGATCATATTGTATCTCTGTGAGTAGTATCAGTTATTTTAGTAGGTTATACAATATGATCGAAAAAAAAAACGGCGTTAGTGATGGCTATTAAATGAAGATCACTGTCATTTTATATGTAAAATTAAATGGGGAATGTCATCGATCGCAACTTTTTTTTCGGTCATTCGGTAGTTACGTATGTATATAATGCCGCGACCGCATATGCGGCATTTAGCGATTTCCAAGCGCTCGTCGCCGATCTTCGAACAGTGTGGACGAGCAAGTTGGAATTCGGCGACTCGATCGGCTACGAAAACGAGCGCTTGTCTCTATGTTGTTCCTATCAGAGCTCGGCGATGCCCGCATGTGTGGACGGAAACTCCGATGACGAGCGCTTGGAAATCGCCGGATGTACGGTCGCGGCATAACGAATATCAATTTTAATCATCCGCGAATACGAATATCTACAACGGACATTCGAGAATGTTATTAATTCGTTTTTACAAAATATTATGTAAAAAATTACAGATATAAAAAGAAAGATATACAGAAAAGATTTTTTTAAAGTTGCTATTTTCGAAAGGATGTTTAATAGTGGAATATATTGTTTATTATTTTAGTTAAAAAAAAATATTTTTTCTTCAGTTTAAAATCGAAGATTTATATTATTAAAAATTTAATAGAATACGTTAGATAATATACTAAATATACATATATAATTTTTTTTAAGAAGTTTGATAGTGATTATCTTTTGTGTTAATATTCTTGGTTTCATTAATAAATATAATTATCGTCACTTCAAACTAAAAGATGATTTAGATTGATGCATTTGTATTTGATGTATATAAAGCATTACATATTTATTATACCGCAATTTCTAATAAAAAAAATTGATTATTTTTAATACTAAATATTAATGTGGAGGCATAAAATCCATCTAAATTAGAATTTACCCGGAATAGCAATCTGTAGTTAAAATAATCAATTTACTTTAAATCAAAATATAACATGACCATAAGTTATTTAAGTATGAGAGGCGCCACCCTGTATATACCTACAAGAATAAGAATATTAATTATTAGCATTCAATATATCCTAAGTTTGTTTTTAATATTTCAAATATTAATTTATAAACGACTTGCCATGCCGCATGCAAATTGACAAAATGGTGACGGAATATATAAATAATTCTCCATAAAGAAATAGTCATAGTGTAAACAGAGCACATTGTGACCTTTTTTTAGCCTGCATCTTTAAAATGATTATTCATATGACTATTACCAGTTTTCATATAAATATCCAATGATTAATCCATTGATTTATCCATTCACTATCTTGCCACAAGACATTATATTTTACATTCACAACAGTTAAAAATTTTACAGAAGATCGTTAAGGAAAATTCAAAATCTATATAGTATCTTATTCTTTTACTAAATGCCAAAGAGTTGAATTTTGAAAAAAAAACAGAAGATATACATGGTTGAATAATTCTAACAAAGAACATTTAATCCAAGTTTTGAGTGAATTTTTTCATATATATTATAGGTATATATAATATACCTTATTTATAACATACGTTAATTTACTTATACATTTTGCCTCATCATTTTACATTTTACCCCATAAATGGCGTAATTTTGAAAAACAACAAAAAACGTGTTTGATTAAATCATATCGAAAACTATCTACATTAATACCAAGTTTTACGCATCATATTCTACAAAACAATATCCACAATAAACTTTATCACTCCTGTTCATTTTCGTAGCCTATTTACGAAGGATTGAGAATAAAACTTTTTAAAATCCATTCATAAAGGATGCCTAATATAGTCCCTTCAGCGACTAAGGGAAGATTTCGACATCATCATCATCATCATTAGCCGTTTGTCGTCCAACTTTGGACATAGGCCTCTCCCAATTCTCGCCACCGATCTCTGTTCTGTGCTGTGCGTGTCCAATGTAGTCCTGCCACTCTTTTGAAATCATTGTACCATCTCATTTGAGGGCGTCCTCTCATTCGCTGTCCTAAGTATGGCCTCCATCGCTGAATTACCGTGTTCCATCTATTGTCGGATTGTCTAACTGTATGTCCTGCAAAGCTCCATTTCAATCGTGCCGCCCTGGCTGTCACATCCTCCACTTCCACTTCCAAGGGAAGATTTCGACATAGGAAATCCAAAAAATGACAAACAATGAAATTTGTTTATGAATTAAAATGACAAACTCCAAATCAAATCAAACAGTCAGGGATCCCCCCGTTGGACAGCCCATAGTTTTTCACTTTTTTTTCTCAAGTAGCTCAAATTTTGAAAAATGTTGAAATATATGAACCTATTCATTTTACGTTTTACCTTATTTTTTTCAAGTTTCAATTTTTCATTTAAAAATAATTGAATATAATTATTATCCCACTTTAAAACATATATCGATGGTTAAAGTGCAAAACCTCGTAAGTCGATTTTTTTCCGTATAACATTTTATTTGATAAACATTTACAAAATATCATATTGTTTAAGGTTACAAGAGCTCGTAAGTCAATTATTAATTTTAGGGACCCCTGGCGCCATCTGTCAAAACCTCGTAAAATTAATTTGCTATATAG